ACCAGAAAACAACGTAGGTGGAATTTTAACCAGCAGTGCCGGATAAAGCAGGATTAAGATTATACCAAATGGAGAAGGACAATGTCAAGGGAAGGCATGTGGGATCAACCGGATATTCCAGGTCAGGAGTAACTCTGTTACTTTAAAGAAAAACTACGGGAGGAAGTGGCACCTAAAAGGAGCCATGAGTTCCTACCATCAACATAAGGAAGTGGCACATAAAGAGCCATAAGTCCCTACCAACAACGTGAAGAAGTGGTACCTAAAGAAGCCATAGGTCAATACCAACAACAGGTGGACGTGCCACCTAAAGGAGCCATGAGTCCCTACCAACAACGTGAGGAAGTGGCACAAAGAGCCATAAGTCCCTACCAAACAACGTGAAGAAGTGGTACCTAAAGAAGCCATAGGTCCCTACCAACAACAGGAGGACGTGCCACCTAAAGGAGCCACGAGTCCCTACCATCAACGTAAGAAAGTGCCACCTAAAAGAGCCATGAGTCCCTACCAACGTGAGGAAGTGGCACAAAGAGCCATAAGTCCCTACCAACAACGTCAGGAAGTGGCACCTAAAGAAGCCAAAAGGTTAAAAAAAGTAACCAAACAGGAAAGGAAGCCAGGCCATAGAGAAGATGGTCAATAAAGAACAATTGGTTTTGGGAAAAGGAAACTAGGACAGAAAAATATGTCACTAAAACAATAAACGGACTAGAGATGACTCAGGTACTTAGATAATGTATCCATGACCTTTGATTTAGGACAAGGGAGGTTAGAAAGGGAGAGATGATTCAAGACAGGAAGTAATGTCTAACGTAGACTTTCTCAACGTTTTAACCTAGATGAACCCTTGTCAGAACTTTCAGGTCTGAGGGAACCCCTGCAAATATTTACTATATCCAGTGGGAAGAATACCACTTACAAAAAGGTGGCCAGTTGGAAGAATGCCTCCATAGAGATAGCTAAAAAGATCATTGGTGCGAGTGGTAACTTACCTGAGTCAGAAACTACTCGATCCTCAAGGAACCTCTAGAGGAACCCTAGTCTTCCACAGAACCTTGGTTGTGAGAGTCAGAAACTGCTCAATCCTCAAGGAATCCCTAGCAACTGCTACAGGAACCCTAGGGTTCCACAGAACCTTGGCTGAGAGTCAGAAACTACTCAATCCTCAAGGAACCCTTAGCCACCTCTAAATGAACCCTAGGGTTCCACAGAACCTTAGCCGAGTCAGAAACGACTCAATACTCAAGGAACCCCTAGCAACCTCTAAATGAACCCTAGGGTTCTACAGAACCTTGGTTGTGAGAGTCGAAACAACTCAATCCTCAAGTAACCTCTGGAGGAATCATAGGGTTCCACAGAACCTTGGTTGCGAGTCAGAAACTACTCAACCCTCAAGGAACCCCTAGCAACCTCTAGAGGAACCCTAGGGTTTCAAAGAACCTTGGCTGAGAAAGGCTATGTACATCAGCTGATGCTCTTCAGAGGCTTCCATGGTTCTAGTGCTTTTACTAGACAAATAGTGGGGGAAATTTTGAAGGCAGGAACAGTCACAAGGGCGAGGCCTACAGCGTGGGATAGATCGGAGCGAGTAATGGTGAGGGCTGAAGCAAGCATGCACAGTGCAGACCACATTTTTGGCACCAGAAGGATGCTGAGAATGCAGCACATGGTGGAATGAGAAGAAACAAACTTTCCGGAAAACCACAATGGGATAATTGTAAATGACTTTATCAGTAGCTCTGGAACTTAGGTAAAGTCAGCTTTCGTATGGGACAAACATATGCTGGTGAGTTTAGTTCCACTTTGAGCAGCACAGTCTTATTGTACACAAGCTCTTCATCCATTTGCCGACAACTCGATCACAAGGTCGTCCATCTTTTTATAATTCAAAAGAAAAGTTCTTCAGGATATTACACAACAAAAGGACACCTAGACGGCTCAGGGAGCTCCTGTCGATTTCTGGATCTGTTCCTTCAAGATAAGGATGCTTTGCCTCTGCTCAGGGGGCAGCATGGCAATCTGATCTGGAGTCAGCTGTAGGACCTGCATGATGAGGGCAGCCTGCGAGGACAAGTAACAATACAAAAGGTATTAGAAGACCAGGAGGTTGAAGAGTGGATTGCCAAACTAATTCATCTACAACTTGAGGAAGTGACAACTCAATACCATGACCGATCTTCCACTTACATCACCACCTGGGGTCCCTCGATTGCTTTCTTGGCTACCCCACAATTCAAAGCAGCCCGGTAGACTTTGCCTACCCCAGCCCTGACATTAAA